TTCTTCGAAAACGTCTACCACGAAGCTTGGTTTTCAGTTTCGGAAACAGGTAGAAGTCAAAGGGGCCAAGTCCGGAGAATATTAGGGAGGGGAAGAATTTCAAAGCCGCAGTCAGTTGCAGCAGCCATCTCAATTTGGGATGTTTGAGCTGGCGCATTGTCGTGCAGGAACAGAACGCCTTGAGTTAGTTTGCCCCTCCTTTTACGCGCAATTTCTTGACGCAGACGTCTCAATTCGTCTGCATATTATGTTCCGTTTATGGTACGACCTTGCTCAAGATAGTCAATAATGATTATCCCCTGACTATCCCAACACATTGAAGCCATCATCTTCCCTGCTGATGGCACCCTCTTGATTTTTTTCGGAGAGGGTGAGCCAGGGTGCTTTTACTGCATGCTGTTTTTTTGGATTCTGGATCGAAGTGATGGACCCATGTTTCATCTTGAGTTACGATCCGGTAGATAATAATGTCCACTTTAAAGCCGTAAATAATTGACCATCAGTTAACAAAATGCCGCGGGCAACTTTAAAATTCGCGAGATTTTTTGTCGAAATGATATAAAATGTTGCGGCTTATAGAAACTGTCGAGTTTTTCGATGACACTTCTGTCGTAAAAAGTCGAGTTTTTCGAAGGAAACCGTGACATTTTTTGTCTATATAGTAGACTAAGCCACGCAAACCTTATACTACGGTAGCTGATTTGGAACGCTTTTGTGCGTTAAGTTGTCGCGCTGTCGTCCTTTCTATAGCGCAGCACGCCAAACGGCGCGTTGTCGTGCGGCACGTTGTCGCGATGTCGCCCTGTCGCTTAGCTTATAAGCCACTCCTTCAATTTGAACCGAGCGACAATGTGACATCGCGACGACACGCCGCAGGACAACGCGCCGTTTGGCGTGCCGCGCTAGAGACAGGACGACAGCGCAACAACGCGCCGTTTGGCGCTTTGTCGTGTTGTCACAAGCGCCAACGCGACGCACAAAAGCGTACCAGATCAGCCACCATATTATACCTACTTTAGGTAGCCGATACCGGCCGTTATATTACGCGATATTTTGTTTTGATGCATACCTTGTAAAAAGTCGAGTTTGAGCATTAAACCTCGACTTTTTATGTGCGCAAAAAGTCGCGGCTGAAAATGGCTATTATTTGCCGCGATATCTAATGACATCGTTGTTGAGGAACAAAAGGTCGTGGCCTCGACTTTTTTTAGAATTTCTACAACACTTTTTCGGTTTTCTTTTCAGTTCCTCGACTGTTTATAGACAAACGAGGGATATAACGTAGAGTCAAACTATGGACGCTACCGGCCACTGGAGTCAAATTTCCCTTGCTGTTTACAACAACTGTTATAAAATAGCGAGGGTTATATGTCTCCAACGACATTTTGTACGATGTCAGCAGAAATCTCGCGGGTTTGTAAGTTTCCCGCGACATATTATGATACAACGATAACATTTCTGGTTTGAAATGGCCGCAACCGGCCACCATAAATATGCGAAAACACAAAGATACGAGTTAAATCTTCGTGTTTTTCGCTTCTTTTAACTTTCTTTAGTAAAAGCGAAAATCAAAAACGACATCGCGTAAATAAACCACCATTCTTAAAATGTTATACATGTCTTCTGACCTGAAACAAATCATAAACCCTTTGTTGATTGACATGATATAACTATAATAATACTATTTATGTTAACATATACCTGCAACTACGTTTATTTTACCCACAAGGCAAATACTGCATGCTAAGTAGTCAAATAGTTGTTTAGAACATATTATGTCCTTAAAAAATCGTTGTTGTTGTAACAGCAAAAAAGGGGACATACAATATCTTTAGTGCACTAAAGTCGTACATATTAGAAGTTAAAGGTTATCACACAAACATAGCTGAATTACCTATTTCAAGTGACTTTTCTTAATTTATTATATGTAATATAAAATTCAACATGATATGTGTAGTGTATTATATATATACGTATACCATTGCAGTTTAAGAATCCGCAAAAAGCAATATCAAAAATATTCCTAAATGCAACTGAAAATATAATGTACTACAGTCTCCGTTACACAGACTATCGTCTGAGATAAATATATTTTTTATCATTTACATGTTAGTCTTACCCGACAGTATTGTATACGGTGACGTTGCTGACGTCATTCATTACGATACGGTTAATTTATAATTTGAACACGCAATCTCCCAAACTCCTCACAGTGATTACCTCCCTTGGCAGAATTGTAATCACTGCCTTCAAAGACGTCACATGATGATGAAAGTCACATGACGTAACGTCGAAATTCAAATGTAAATATCGACCGTTACATAGAAAATCTAACGTCATTTTTCTCTTTCTGTTTTATTTTTAACTTTTAGTGCCTACGTTCGATATAGTTTATCAAAAAGTTATCAAAAATGTACAAGATAACGAAAAATAAATTCAAAAGCTAAAAATTATAAAATAGATCTATCAAAATATTATCTCGGTAGGAAATATTCTCATAATTTTAAAATTATTTTTAAATATTCATATTATTTATTTATTTATCCATAAACATTGTTTAATCAATGAGAAAAAACTTAACTGATAGATAAAAGCAGTAAATAAAACAATTTTTGAAAAAAATACAGTATATCAGAAATACTGATATATCGATGTCCGTGAAGTACGCGGGCTAACGGGCTAGCAGTCTAGCGGGCTAGCAGTATGAACTGAGCGGGCTAGCAGTCTAGCGGGCTAACAGTGTGAACTGGGCGGGCTAGCGGCCTAGCGGGCTAACAGTGTGAACTGGGCGGGCTAGCAGTCTAGTGGGCTAGCAGTGTGAACTGGGCGGGCTGGCGGGCCAGCGGGCTAAAATCTAAAACTTTATTGATTCAACATTAAAACCTCAGATATATCGGGACCTTGGTGGCAGAGATCTATGCCGAAGAATTAAGGGGAGATCACTGCGTGGAGATTGGCAATATCCACGCAGTGATCTCCCCTGAACTTACCGGCGTAGTGTACTTATAAATAGAGGATATTCGTTTAGTTCAGTGTAAGATCGGAATATATTTCACCGAGTGAGCACCAAAAGGTATATTTCACGAGTGGCGCAGCCACGAGTGAAACATGAACTTTTGGTGTTCACAAGGTGAATTTATATTTCGATCTTACACTAAACTAAACAAATTTTCTTTTTATTATATGCAAAGAAACGTTTTAAAAAGACATTAAACCTAATACTGAATGAAAAGCGCGCCAAATAATAATACAACGTGACGTCATTTACGACGTCACGTCATTAAGTTGGTACCCAGTACTGTGCACGCTGGCATTTCACTGAAACAACGTAAGGGGCTTAAATTCAAAACAGTGAAATTATCAAAGTGGTAATTTCACTGTTTCAAACAGTGAAAATACCAGTTTTATATCACTGATATATTTCTATAAACCACCGAAAAGCATGTAATAAAGGGAAATAACCGCTTCGAGGAGTTGAGGTACATATAGAAACAAAATGCTTACTTTAAGATTAGTGTAACTCATGGGTTTAAATAGAAGGGACCATAGTCGGGCTTACCAGTGATATAAGATCATTGTCAATTAAAGTTCACTCGAGTCAAATACATGTATAAGTTCTTTTCAAGATACCCCTTTAATAACCATTAAACTTTTCTGGTGGCTCTTATGTCCCATTTTTAAAAGGTTTAGATAATTATATAAATAAAAGTGAAATTAAAGAGGAAAATGTATCAACAGTTCCCCTTCCTCACTGGATACCTTAAAAACAATTACCGTTATATTATTTGTTATAAAGATTTTTTGACAGTTTATATGACCCTATATAAAGGGCTCAGGTTATATTGCAAACGACGGTTTATATACGGTCATATAACCTGTAACAAATTTATAATACATCAAACTTGCCTTTTTGAGACAGAAGTGAGATTTCTTAGAAAATTAACAGCAGCCATGTGCATGTATATAAAACTATGTAAACGTCACGATTATCCAATGAAAAGTGACGTAACAAACGTGCAGTATTTTAAATCAAACAGTACAGCCTATGAAATTTCGAGAATTTGAATTTTAATAATTAATCATTGGTTTAAGACAGACATAGGTGTGCAATATCTGAATATGCATGTTTTTTCAGCAACTTCATTTTGGTTATTAATTCATAAGCGAATATATATATGTATGTACAAGGTCGGTACTTTTTATCAATAACAGCGTGGGTTTATCTGACCGCTGTTCTTATCGTCTTCAGGTAATTGAATTCCTGTGGTAATTACCGTCTGCTGTAGTGTGACATGCAATAGGACAATTGACTTTCTACGTTGTATTTCTTAATTAATATGTAAGTCAGCGTGTATGTAAATATTTAATGAAGAACTCGATGTAAATTCTTGTCAGGTAATTCAATCATTCCAATAATTATGAAACATTCATGAAGAACTATAATTCCCAAAGGATGTTTTCTCGTTCCGTACAGGCGCGGAATAATACAAATATTAACAAATTAATATTGTATTAAAAACAAATAAACAAAAAAATAATTTTACAAGTTTCATTGTTCATTTACGTGCTAAAGGACCATTATGAGTTTATATGAGGTCTAAATAATTGATATGAATAATATAATCATCGCAAGTAGTGAAATATTGGTTTTCTAGCCACTAGGTCTTACCACTAAGACAAGATACACCCCTGTGTTATAATCAAACACTAGCCTAGAAAATGTATATGTTAGTTACAAACACGAATTATCTTACAATGTAAATTACGTAAATAAGTCAGTCACACCTGAATAACTGACGCTGAAAAAGGATAGGAAATGCGAATTTTAAAGTCCAACTGGAAGTGAATCTTACTTAAATGGACTGACGTGAAAATCTCCCGATAAGAAAAGAATAGAAGAAGAAACAGAAAAAGAAGAAGAAGAAGAAGAAGAAAAAGAAGAAGAAGAGGAAAGAAAGAAAGAAAGAAAGAAAGAAAGAAGAAAGAAAGAAAGAAAGAAAGAAAGAAAGAAAGAAAAAAAGAAGAAGAAGAAAAAGAAGAAGAAAGAGCTTTATTTACAAAGAGAATATGAAAAAAGTGAAAAGGTTAAAGAAATCGAAAAATCTTGTGTCTGATGAAACTTTAGCATACGACACTAAAGTGTACATATACACGGACAGTGACAGTAGTTTGGATTATGATACAGAGTTAGAGGAAAACGGTAAATACTGTTTGTATACTTATTAATAAAGTGATGGTTTGAAGCTAAATGCTTACATCATATTGAATTTACGGCGAATATTGTAAATTAAGGCGTAGACAAATGCAATTACGAATTTTCAACAACTTCACACATATTGCTTTATTTTATTTATTCAACGTGTGCCATAAATTTAATACGGAATATAAACTTATCAAATATTTATATAATTGTTTTGTTTTTAAATCAAAAGCATATGGAAAATAGTTCCGTGTTAACGTTGTTATGTTGTAACCATAACAAATAATAAATGTAAGGAAAACGTTAAAGTGGATTGGTCTACCTACAGTGGCATATTTTCAATAAGTATTTCAAATATTGATGAAAATAATTGAAATGTTTTATTTGGATATTCTTACAAAATATTTCTTGAAAACAAATGGTTATCTAGTTCTAAGTAATTTAGAATGACAATTTATTTGATAAATAAAAATACTATGTTCTAGAACAAGTTATTATTTGCCATATGTAAATATGAATTGATGGACATCGTGTGATTACTGTATGTCATTAAAAATGATATGCCCAGCTTGATAGGCAGTTCTAAAAAATGGAAGCTTGAAAAGTAAAGTTTACAAATTCAGAAGGTAAAAGGACGTAAACTGATACCAACCATTGTTTTATATAAGCCAATTCAAAACATATGTATTAAATTTAGCCTCCTTATCAATAACAATAAGGCAATGGCACAATTTTAAAGTATGCCCTTTATTAAAAGAGCGGACAACTCTTTGTCTATTTCTCGTACGGGGAATTCTTTCCCCTTCTTTTACGAGAAAGGGACACATAGTTGTCCGAACTGTTTGTTTCCCGTTATTACGCCTTCTGCTTCGCCAAATAACGCCTTTTATGCGTTATAACACTTTTAATTTTTTATTACACCTTTTGTTTTGCGTTATTGTGCGTTTTTTTGTTGGCGTTATAACGCCTTTCTTATATTTCATTTGATTTCATTTGTTACTGTATGGATTTTATGAAGAGTTATTTAAACAGATCTCTTCAAAAGAAGTGTTCAGAAACTATCATTTCTTCCGTGATGTCTAGCTAAAACCAACTTATCACATCGATTAAAATGAAGTTTAAATTTAATAATTAAAATGTTCAATGATTTTTGTATAATAGACAGGACTGATTTTAAGAAAATATGAATGCTAGAGGCATTTTATAGTACAAGTGGTATCTTGAGTGTTTTAACCTAATACGGGTATGCTGAAGACGATGAGGGTGGATACCAAGAAAATAAAATTGACCTTGACCTTCAAAAGGTCAATTCAAAATGGCCGCTTAAAAATACTAAAATAGGTCATTAAAACTATGATACAATATGACGCAATTAATTATTCTTGTCAAAATCAAATGATTATTCAATATTCTCTAAGTTTATACAATTATTAAGTTAATTAATAACAAATTTCTAGTAATATATAAGGTTAACACGTAAAAATCACTCAAAAACAAGGTCATAAAGGTCATATATATTTTTATTTCGCAAAGCATGATTATTATTATCATGTAAGCTAAAACTACATTTCTTTGTTATACTAATATCATATTTAAGAATTTACTGAATAGATTTGATACTGAAGCTTTGAAAGAACTGTACTATGTTATGCAATAAAGCTCTCAATATTGTTTTAAATGTATATATTACCCCACACTCATGAATTGAGTGCCCATTCGTTATATGTACACATGCCAGTATTTGTCACAGTTTGAAACATTGGTTTGGATAAGTCGTTTAGTCTTTCAATATGTTGTTTTCTGGATTTTTGTTTACTGCTCAAGAATGTGATAAAGGCTTTGTCGGTCTTAAAAATAAAAACGATTAAAGGGCAGATAGGAATAAATTCAATTATTAGGATTTCCAAAATCGCTAGAAATCTCCATTCAGTCGGGTTTTCGTTCCTGAACAAAAGAGCTTATGTTTCTTCTCTTAATAGAAAGATCCCATATATTGTTTACTCAGTAGAAGCCCACACACTGGATTCAATGTTTGCGTATCAAGAAAGTAGTTAAATTCTATATAAAGATAACACGACAAAAACATGGTGGGTGGCATGCACATTAGGGGTCCCTTTTTGAGGTTTTTTGTCTTTCAATTTGTTATCATGTGGCATTAATATAGTATGCATTTTGAATGGCTTATGGGGGAAATGGTTGAATCTTGTTTAATAATTGAATATGTCGCCATCCAGGAACAGCAAAAATAACAATACATCTAGGTACGGTAATGTAAACAAGTGACTTGTAAGAAAATTAGGATTGACTGGTTTGGAGATTACTTAGGAAACATTTTTTTAATTAAGGGATTTTATGGATTCCACTGCAAAATAATAAGGCTATGAGCGTATCATGCCATTTTGATTTGATTTTGAACCTATTTTGGTCAAGGCTATCGGTAATTTGAGCTTTGGAAATTCAATAGCAAACGCAACTGTAACGCTTTCATTTACAAATCCCACAAGAATCAGCTAAACGCAATTGAGAACCTGGTGAATATTTAAAGTTTTGGCAAGCAGGTTATATACTTGCGCTGAGAAAGTTGTTAGCATTTATAAGCGTGGCTTGCTATAAAACAAGTCTATTAGGACACGTTAATCTATTACGGGTGGCTTAAAACTAACTTTAGTGATCCTAACACAATCAATTAAGCCAACTCATCGGTCAGTAAATACCAACAGGACTATTTGTCCATATTTTTGGGGGTAAACGCAGAAAATGTATGGTAGTTAGGGATTAGTGGTAGAGAAGTGGTGGTAAGAACTGATAAGCAATCATACGGTCATACGAGTCTTCTGATCACTCTCCTACAACTTTTATATGGGAAGCTCACTCTCAGATTAAATAATGTTGCCCTTGATGCTGAGTGTTTTGGGGACTTAGGTTGGTTATGGTACCTATAGGAAGGGAAATGTCCCAGCGAGTAATGGTGGGGGAAGAGTAGATTAAGGGTGGCTCAACCTCTGACCATTTAGTAATGTTGGGGGTAAGGATAACTGCAAGAAAAGCGTGCCTGAATTATATAAGTATACCCAGCGATTAAGTGGATCATAACATTTAGAAACAAATTGCTCAAATTTTACACGTCTTATGGGCTGTAGTAGCCATAATCAGATCTTGGGCAAATTACTTTCAAACGTAAGTGATTATTTTTTATTCTTTTACAACAGTTACAATGAATTACTCTAACTTGACAAAATAACATTATTTTCCATGGGTTATTATGATAACTTCTGATTACTTTCTATTGTCTCATTTTAAAATTGCAAAGACCTAGCTATTTTGTGTTTTATTAACAAATTTAGAAAATATTTGAATAACAAAACCTATGCAAATATGGAATATTTAGATGAGTATTCAAATACTTTTGTTTGTAATGAAATGAATGTATCACATACGTGTGATAATACAAAGCAAACTTTTTTGTTTGAATTCGGTATGTATGTACATACAATTTCATGCAGTAGTAATGTGTTGAATGGTTACAATTACAAAACTCTTGGGCAATTTTAGCCTGGATATGCATGTTGTAGTTTATCTGTTCGGCTGACATCACAGTAGAACACTTTGTCGTAACCTACTTTGTGCGAGCTTCATGTACAAGTTACTGTTATATTAAAAGAAAGCCAAAACGTTTGCATAATATAATGGCTTTTTTAAGGTTAATTATTTATAAATTGGTTGGTATAGGGTTTCTTGTGAAGAAAATTAAACGAGCATTTAGCAGAATTTGAAGTCATAACCATGACATCTCATTCGATGACAAATTCACAGGGCGATAAATGTTGCTGCAAACGAAAATACTTTTTTCTTAGTCTGGCCAAGGGCTCGGAAGTTTTTGATTCAATATGAGTTTTATAATATGCTTTATTAATTAACTGTGCAATATTGGGCGCATTAGCACTTGCAATTCAGAGCTGATACATTTTCACCATGACATTATGAATAGAAAACTCAATCATCATGAAAAAACATCCATAACGTGATAAGTCGGCCGTTATAAGATTCAGACATTCTGACTGACTGTTTGACATGGTCATTATGAAGCTCACGCTAAACATTGAAAAATCCAATGCCATTTCGTTATTTATAATAATTAAAGGTTTAAGTTTAAACATATTTATTCTCAGAATATGTACATAATAACATTTGAAATATATTCACATACAAAATTTGACAATATTCAAAGAAGAGGATTAGAACGAAAGACTAGGTCTAATAGAATTCTTTTCCTTTTAGTTGTAAAATATTTCGGTGTCGAACTGGTGATGTAAAATTTTCTGAGAAAAATATATATTAATATACATATAATAGAAACAAATATACAGTCGAACTTCGTTTGCTCGAACTCGGGGGGCCTGTGCAAATTTGTTCGAGAGATCGGTAGTTCAAGCCAACCGAGGTTGAAATATTATTACGTTGATCACATGCCTAAAGGTTTTCTAGCAATTAAAGGTTTTCATAATTGTACTCTTATTTAGCTTGAATCCTTTGGCTTTATAACAATGTCATTATGAAAAGAAACTCCAATTATTGACATCATAGTAACATAGCTTTTTCCTAATGTTGTTGCTTATGAGTCAATAAATAAAATTTGTAAGTCGCTGGATAGGGCATTTTAACTAGGATCAAAATATAATCCTCTAGATGCTCATGCAGTTCAGGTGGTAGATATGTAGATGTGTATTTAGATGATGCATTAGTCTCAAGATGAAGCCTCATTCACTGACATCTGACTTGGAAACCAGTTCATGCATGGGAGGATAGGGTTGTTTGACAGTAATAAGAAATCCTTTAGTGAAGCAAAATTTAATCCAAGCTGTTATATAAGCGTTATTGGTTTTAAATTTCTTATGACAATATTAATCATCCTACTTAATATTTCCTGAATTTCAATATTGCAATAAGTGAATTGCATTGGACAGCTCTGAGGAGTAAGGGTAAACTATTTAGAAATTTCTCATGTGGTTAGTCAAGTTTAAAAACCTTGTTGAAAGAAATACTGGCATATAGTGCTATGCAAATATAACTAGGAATCTGAGTAGCCACTCTATATGCTTGCATAGAGTGCCAGATAAAATACTTGAATGCTTTATATTTAGCAGATAGGGCAGGGAAGAGTGAAGTGTTCGCTGCGTAAACCGTAAATATAGTGATTGTTCAATGGAGTACAGACTTTCTAGAATTTTTATCTCTTACATTCTAGTCTCTTATGTTTAAATGCCTTAACATATTCAGTAATATCTTTAATATTACTTCTATATTACTACTATATTGGCCTATAGAAAAATGTCCGACATCTTTGATTTTTCGGCCATATTGGATTTTTTTTTTAATTCTGTTTTGGTGTCTAATTTGTTTTTACCTAAACATGCTTTGTGACAAATTTCAGGCTTTTCCTATCTTTAAAAGTTTTATTTGATATATCATCCATTTATGATAAAGAATTTGGCGGTTCCTATATTGGCCTTAAGAAAATGTCCGCCATCTTGGATTTTTTTCGGCCATATTGGATTGGCTTTTTTTAATTCTGTTTTGGTGTTTAATTTGTTTTTACCTAAAGATGCTTTGTGACACATTTCAGGCTTTTCCTTTCATTAAAGTTTTATCTGATATATCATCCATTTATGATAAAGAAATTTGGCGGCCATTTTAGTGGTCATTTTAAATAGCCATTTCAATGGTCAAGATCAAGTTTTTCAGTTTGGTATCCACCTTAATCGGATTCAGCATACCTTAAATAGGTAAAATACACCAAGATACCACTTGTACTACAAAATGCCTCTAGCATCTTATAGAGGGCCAAATTCTCAAAGTCAGTCCTGTCTATAAAAGACGTTTCAAGTTACTTATTTTAAAAGCAACTTATCATTCATTTGAATTTCGAAATCATAATTATTTTTTTTACAGAAGAAAGCATAACACAGAGATATGAAGAGAAAAACAAAAGGCAGGAGGAAGAGAATTTTGGGATTGGTCACGTGTCCTATGAAGACGCCTGCTTCAATCTAAAAATAGTACCGATTCGGAGGATTTCGGAACAACTTCCGCTTAAAGACATGCGTCTTCAACATATTGGAATAAATTGCAGTCATTGCAAAGCGCTTGCTTGTGCATTATGGGTAAGTTGGTTACATAGCACGTGACCATAAATGACAATGTCATAATTCGCGAAAAGTGTATAGAAAATAAGAAACGGATTTTATGTTTATACGAGAAATGAAAACAACGTACAAAATGAGCAAGTGAAACAACAACAATAACAACAACAACAATAACAACAACAAAAAGCAACAACAACGACAGCAAAAACAACACTTGTAGCCGTAAAAGCATTCGGCAACAGACGCAATTAAGAGCGTTAGAATATAATATAATGTTTTTCTTTGTTCTTCTTTAGCATTTCACTTAAACGCTTGCTTGTGGCATTAAAAAGTTAATACAAATATAATTAAGACAAAAACAACATCACTAATTTGCAACAATGTCGCGTTATCACACCAAATACAATCCGGTTTGTTTATCTTACAGAACAACACCTGTATTGAAAGTATAGAACTGGAAGACAATGGTTTAGTTGGTGAAAACTTGGTACCAATCATCAATGTAGTGAGGACCAATTCAAATATTAAAAGCTTGGTTTGTAAATCATGAAATAATATATAGATCTAAATGTATTTGACATATTTGTTCATTTGTGTTTTAACTAAGCCACATTTGTAGTTTCGTTGCTTTGTTATTTTTTTTTTTGAAGGATTTGCAGTGGTCAATAAGGAACAACGTCCGTTGTTACCCATCATTCTGGTTGGTAATATTGGTAATAGCAAATTAAGAAGGTCTTTGTATGATTATCAAAATAATTCAACAAGTTTGCATCATTTACAATAATTTTACATACTTTATTCTTTACCTTTAAGCTAAATAACAAATGCCTACTTAATTGCGCATAGTGAAATAAATTACATCTTTCACGAATTACACGAATTACACGAAAACTTTTGTCCTTTTTTTGTGTTGTTTTTGGTTTTATTTATACTGGGCGCCGGTTTCCCATATGTCCCAGACTAGTCGGCCTCTATTACGATTGCTGGTAACGTAGAGCCTGCAACGGAGGACTTATTCGCCTGCAACGTCGTCGATGTCGTAGAGCCGCGACGGAGGTCTTTTCAAGCTGTCGATCGTCGTAGACCTTCTCTAGGACCAAATTCCTCGCTTCATGAACAAATGACAATAGAGGAAAGGCACCTCTTCCGGGAGCAGCAGCTCTCTTTAGGGCCACACCCTTCGTCGTTGGTTAGGTCACACCAGCTAAGTGACCTAACTAGGTCACCCATCTGGTGTGACCTATGCCTTCCGAGCGACGTGCACGCCACGAAGGGAAGTCGGAAGAAAACTTTTTTTTGTTCTTTAGTTTACTAGTATTTGTTTTATATGTATAATATAACAGCTTCGCAATGGTTTGGAAATCTATGTAAAAAGAATTACGTAATGCCCATCTCCATGGTTTTAGAAAAATCATCATAATGTTTTTCGTTTAATTTTGATGCGTACATAAAGAGAAATGGCAAATATTTGAAGAAAAGGAATACTTATGGTTGTTTTAAAACAGCAATATTTGTCACGTGAAAGGAATCTGAATTATACTCGTAATATCATCAATTTTGATCTTTTCTTATGCAAGATCATTTTGGCAGAAAATCTCAAGCTTTTTGTCCGAAACAAAGAGTATATTATATGTTTTCGCATCATCGGTAACCCAGGCCATTTACCTATACTAGCATCGGTATTTTATGTAGTATGTATGGAATATGTTCCGTGGATTCAGAGACAATGATATTTTCGTAGGACACTGATTTTACAGAGAAAAGGACACAAATGTTATAATCTGCATATGACATAAGTTTTATGTAATAAGTGCATAGCAGATTTAATATTTAATGAGCTATATTTTCAGAGTTTATCAGAAAATGAAATACAAGTAGTTGGTGCAATGGCTCTTGACGAGATTTTGCGAGAAACAACGTGTTTGACACACATCAATCTATCCGGTAAAATTGCTTTGTGTTTAATTTATTTCTTTTCACTAATTTTACAATAACTCTTAGCTACGAGTACCACAATCTTTCAGTGTTGCATATCTTTGCGATTTTGAAAGAAAAATAAATTTTGTAACTTGTTAAAATGTTAAACACAATGGGAATAACAATCAGTCTTGCTTATGATTCATTTTCAACTAAAATAATCTGAACTGAATGTTGTTGTTCTTCATTATAAATATCATGTTCTTTTGAACTCAAATATATATAATTAAATCAAATAATTCCATCATTTTAAATAGAACAGAAAATCTAAAATAAATGACATAAATATTTACTCAACTTCTTTAATCATATCTAAATAACTCTGTTTAGCTTTTCAGAGAAATATTTCAAGTATTACCTCCCTTTATTCAACTAATTGGATGTGCGTTTGTCGATAAACAGGATTTAAATAATAGTGGAAAATCTATTTGCAGATTTGCAAGACAATAATTTAATTGTAAACTTTTTTGGCATTTGCGCTAGAAAAACAAATCCTTTTTTTTAATGTTAAATTTTTAAAAAGTTTGTTGTGGAATCAAATAAAGCTCATTCCGTATTGTCGACCTTGGTAGTTTTTGTTGTCACTGTACAAAGTAGAATATTATACTGCTAAAAGAACTTTAATTATGGACAGATAAATCCAAGAGCAGGTTTTCCTATATGAATGCCGTGCATTTTGTTACTATTTAGCAAACGTCACAAACTTTTAAATGTTTTAGTTAACAGCTTTGTATTTTAATGGTTATAGGAACAAAGTTGGGCGACAGGGAGTGTGAGTTCATAGCAGCAGGATTACAAAATAATAACAGTGTAAGATGGTTGAACCTTAGTCACAATATAATAGGAACTGGTGGTAGTAAGAAACTAGGACGAGCGATTGGTTAGTATCCAATTAATCGATTAATTATCGATAAGGTTTTATATTGGGAAACCAACCAATACCAGAAGGTGGCAAATCCTTAAGTCTTAGAAATTCTTAAAGTATTTATACCTTTATGTATAACATGAAAAATGCATGTAACTATACATAACTCATTGAAAGTTGTCATTAAAACATTAAACAATGGACTTTGATCTACTGGTTATGATAAAAAAGAATTATTTTGCTTAAGGATCTTACACCGGCTGCAGGTTCAGACCGGAATATCTAGCTCGAGGGTAACTGATTACGGCGGTAACGAGACTACAGAATTTCCGCTTAACAGCTACCAGAGAGCTAGATATTCCTGTCTGCTGTCTTTTTCTTATTACATATTTACGGGTTTATGTACGTATCAAACGTTTTTAACTATCGTTAGCTGTGTAAGTTGTCACCTAACGAATACAGCTCACCATAAGCTGTATACGTTTTAGCCTACGTTTGCAGGTTTCATGAAAGCTATATACGTCGTAAACCGTATACGGTGCAACAAAGCGCTGTAAATGCACGTCCTGGGTGTTATAACCATGCTGACATATACATGAAGGTGATGGGAAATGTATAGCTCTGGTTCGGTCTCTGTGGATAAGAAGTCCAAAACTATACTCCCTAAATATGTCTTTGACTGTCATAATAATTATTTAAATCATCAGCAGTACCATTGCCATCCTCATCATCATCATCATCATTATCATCATCATCGTCATCAAATCATCATCATCATAATCAAATCATCATCATCATCAAATTATCATCATCATCATCATTATAATCATCATATATTCTGTAAAATTCGCGATTGAATCAAACGTAAAACCACGTAATGTTGCCAACTATTTCTGTGTACAAACAGGGGACACAACTTCTTTGCAGTCTTTAAACCTTAGTTGGAATCATATAAGAATGGAAGGTGCAGTTGGTATACTAAAAGGGTTACAGGTAAATAATTCGTTTACTCTGATTTATTTGTATATTGGATTACCCTGCTTAAAATTTGCAATTTAACAATGTCAATGTATGAGGTTTTAATATAGAAGCTTAAAGAAAGGAGTAAGAAATACGTTTTTTTTATGCATATTTTAATCGTTATTTAGAAATTCATGTAGATTGTAAATGCCGTTTGCAATGTGGAAATTGATTTTCTTTGTTCACTTCCTATTATTTTATTTTAAAACTTATGAAAATTATCATGAATCTGATTGCATGCTGCTTTAAACTAACTCCGCACGTTCCTCATGCTTAACATTAAATTTTGCTAAAGAAGGACAAACTACTTTAAAATAGGAATTGCCGGTGCACAAGACACCAATGTGAAATTTACCTTACACTCCTTGTATTCATAATGCAAAAATCGATTTTGATATCCTGAATATAATTAAAATAACTGTAGATTTTCTATCTCTAAAATAACCTGAATGTTCTGTTTTTATGAGTATCTGAATCGTTTTAGCATTATCCTTCCAGAAAAATAATTCATTAATCAATGTGGACCTAAGTATGAACGGACTCGGGTTCGAAGGAAGTCTGGCATTGGAAGATACCTTACGAGAAAACACATGTTTGAAATATCTTGATATAAGCAATAACAGAATAAACTGGGAAGGTGTGTCTTATGTTGCCAAAGGCCTGAAAAAGAACTCAACACTGCAGATGCTGAAAGTAAGATATGTTCCAATTTACACCGTTAAAGGCCCATAATGTCTCAGAAATGCTCTCATTTTATTTCTGAAAAAGAAAAGAAAAAACAATTTTTTGTTATAGAATCTACCTTAAAAGTTTCCAAAAACAAACTCAATTGCTTTATTTGATTTATAGATATATACATACATCTTTAGTTCTGTGTGCAGTTAGTATAATTATAGTAAATAAGTATTTTGTATGGAAGTCAAATTACTACTTTATTTACATTTTGCTACCTTTACGACACATAACTGCCTGTTCAGGGTTACTTTTTCAGTTGTAAAACATCTTCATGCACTGAATCTATTTTATAAACATTATTAAACACATGTTTGACATTTCCAAAGATTTTTTAATGGATTTCTGATGCATAATGTGCCTTTAATTAAAGTCTGCAAGACATTGATATATCAAATATGCTTTTATGCAAATCATAAATATTCCGTTTACCATATTTGCTATTTTCAAAGAATTTTCTATGATCGCATACATATACATCACAATTATTTTATGTCTGGTCCCGAAAGAGAGATAGAAAATAACTATTAATTATTTCATTTAAATTCAGTAATTAAACGTTGATTTATTAGCGCCCTGTTGTCATAAGTATTATATAAAATATATAATTATGTGCGTATGCTAGCATCGTTTTTTTTTCAAAAATAATTAAGATGAAAGTTAATAACCTGCATGCCTATGCTTGGCTACATTCATAACCAAAATTAGTTTTAACAAATAGCGAGAATAATGAATAGTTAGTTAATAGGGTGTATTTCCGTTACATACGTTTAAACTTATTTCATTGCTACAGGTACAGGTTCAACAACCAATATATAATTCATAAAAGAGGAAATTGTTTGCCCAACATTAAACAAACTTCATTTCGATTCCCTTCACATAACTTTCAAGCACATAAATAAATTACCATTTAATCATGTTTTCCATAAACTGAATTGCTTTTGTGCGCTTGGACGCACAAAATGGTTGCATATTTGATTATGTTTTCTTCCAATCCTATAACATCCAGTGAAAAAATATTTATCACACACCCGTGCCGATTTTGCGACTCCGTAAAAATGGTATTGCACGGCCGTGCATATTATATGTTATTTTGGTTTTGGAGTGATATATGTGGATATATTACCTGCTAAGATTTTATATCAGGCGAGGGTGATATTTTATCTTGGCAGGTAATATATCCACATATATCACTCCAAAACCCAAATAATAATTTTATTACCCTTCCCCTGTCGAGTTTAGACGATTTTTTTAACAAATCATTGCTGTTTCAAATGAAACGTCGAAATAAGATTCCCTTTAGGGTACCCCTTCATCACAACATGACGTCACATAAATACATGACGTATTTTTATGCTCTCCGAAAAATTTCGGGGGAGCAATTAGTCGCCGCCTTGTCCGTCCGTCCATCCGTCCGTCCGTCCGTCTTTCCGTCCGTCCGTCCCCTTTTCTTGTCTGGGACATAACTTTGAAACAACAAGAGGTATCAACATGAAACTTTGTAGGTAGATAGATCTCATTGAGTAGGTGTGCAGTACACAAGAACCGTAACTCTGCCTTGCCTAATTTTTGAATTATTCCCCTTTGTTTATTTTTACACTTTGAACTTTGTCCGGGACATAACTCTAAAAGTATAAGTGGTATCAACACGAAACATTGTAGGTAGATAGATCTCATTGAGTAGGTGTGCAGTGCACAAGAACCGTAACTCTGCCTTGCCTAATTTTTGAATTATCCCCCTTTGTTTATTTTACACTTTGAACTTTGTCCGGGACATAACTCTAAAGGTATAAGAGGTATCAACATGAAAATTTGTAGGTGGATAGATCTCATTGAGTAGGTGTGCAGTGCTTAGGAACCGTAACTCTGCCTTGCCTTATTTTTTAATTATCCCCCTTTGTTTATTTTACACTTTGAACTTTGTCCAGGACATAACTCTAAAAGTATAATAGGTATCAACATGAAACTTTGTAGGTAGATAGATCTCATTGAGTAGGTGTGCAGTGAACAAGAACCGTAACTCTGTCTTGCCTAATTTTTGAATTTTTCCTCCTTTGTTTATTTTTACACTTTGAACTTTGTCCGGGACATAACTCTAAATGTATAAGAGGTATCAACATGAAACTTTGTAGGTAGATAGATTTCATAGAGTAGGTGTGCAGTGCACAAAAACCGTAACTCTGCCTTGCCTGTTTGAATTATCCCCCTTTTTTATTTTACACTTTGAACTTTGTCTGGGACATAACTCTAAAACTATAAGTGGTATCAACACGAAACTTTGTAGGTAGATAGATCTCATTGAGTAGGTGTGCAATACACAAGAACCGTAACTCTGCCTTGCCTAATTTTTGAATTATCCTCTTTGTTTATTTTTACACTTTGAACTTTTTCCGGGACATAACTCTAAAAGTATAAGAGGTATCAACATGAAACTTTGTATGTAGATATATATCATTGAATAGGTGTGCAGTGCACAAGAACCGTAACTCTGCCTTGCCTAATTTTTGAATTATCCCCCTTTGTTTATTTGACACTTTGAACTTTGTCCGGGACATAACTCTAAAAGTATAAGGGGTATCAACATGAAACTTTGTAGGTAGATAGATCCCATTGAGTAGGTGTGCAGTGCACAAAAACCGTAACCCTGCCTTGCTTAATTTTTTAATTATCCCCCTTTGTTTATTTTACACTTTGAACTTTGTCCAGGACATAACTCTAAAAGTATAAGAGGTATCAACATGAAATTTTGTAGGTAGATAGATCTCATTGAGTAAGTGTGCAGTGTCTAAGAACCGTAACTCTGCCTTGCCTAATTTTTGAATTATCCCCCTTTGTTTATTTTACACTTTGAACTTTGTCCAGGACATAACTCTAAACGTATAATAGGTATCAACATGAAATTTTGTAGGTAGATAGATCTCATTGAGTAAGTGTGCAGTGTCTAAGAACCGTAACTCTGCCTTGCCTAATTTTTGAATTATCCCCTTTGTTTATTTTTACACTTTGAACTTTTTCCGGGACATAACTCTAAATGTATAAGAGGTATCAACATGAAACTTTGTAGGTAGATAGATTTCATAGAGTAGGTGTGCAGTGCACAAAAACCGTAACTCTGCCTTGCCTGTTTGAATTATCCCCCTTTTTTATTTTACACTTTGAACTTTGTCTGGGACATAACTCTAAAACTATAAGTGGTATCAACACGAAACTTTGTAGGTAGATAGATCTCATTGAGTAGGTGTGCAGTACACAAGAACCGTAACTCTGCCTTGCCTAATTTTTGAATTATCCCCTTTGTTTATTTTTACACTTTGAACTTTTTCCGGGACATAACTCTAAAAGTATAAGAGGTATCAACATGAAACTTTGTAGGTAGATAGATATCATTGAATAGGTGTGCAGTGCACAAGAACCGTAACTCTGCCTTGCCTAATTTTTGAATTATCCCCCTTTGTTTATTTTACACTTTGAACTTTGTCCGGGACATAACTCTAAAAGTATAAGGGGTATCAACATGAAACTTTGTAGGTAGATAGATCCCATTGAGTAGGTGTGCAGTGCACAAAAACCGTAACCCTGCCTTGCTTAATTTTTTAATTATCCCCCTTTGTTTATTTTACACTTTGAACTTTGTCCAGGACATAACTCTAAAAGTATAAGAGGTATCAACATGAAATTTTGTAGGTAGATAGATCTCATTGAGTAAGTGTGCAGTGTCTAAGAACCGTAACTCTGCCTTGCCTAATTTTTGAATTATCCCCCTTTGTTTATTTTACACTTTGAACTTTGTCCAGGACATAACTCTAAACGTATAATAGGTATCAACATGAAATTTTGTAGGTAGATAGATCTCATTGAGTAGGTGTGCAGTGCACAAAAACCGTAACTCTGCCTTGCCTAATTTTTGAATTATTCCCCTTTGTTTATTTTCACACTTTGAACTTTGTCCAGGACATAACTCTAAACGTATAATAGGTATCAACATGAAACTTTGTAGGTAGATAAATCTCATTGAGTAAGTGTGCAGTGTCTAAGAACCGTAACTCTGCCTTGCCTAATTTTTGAATTATCCCCCTTTGTTTATTTTACACTTTGAACTTTGTCCAGGACATAACTCTAAACGTATAATAGGTATCAACATGAAACTTTGTAGGTAGATAGATCTCATTGAGTAGGTGTGCAGTGCACAAAAACCGTAACTCTGCCTTGCCTAATTTTTGAATTATCCCCCTTTTTTATTTTACACTTTGAACTTTGTCTGGGACATAACTCTAAAACTATAAGTGGTATCAACACGAAACTTTGTAGGTGGATAGATCTCATTGAGTAGGTGTACAGTGCACAAGAACCGTAACTCTGCCTTTTCTAATTTTTTAATTATCCTCCTTTGTTTATTTTACACTTTGAACTTTGTCCAGGACATAACTCTAAAAGTATAAGAGGTATCAACATGAAAATTTGTAGGTAGATAGATCTCATTGAGTAAGTGTGCAGTGTCTAAGAACCGTAACTCTGCCTTGCCTAATTTTTGAATTATCCCCCTTTGTTTATTTTACACTTTGAACTTTGTCCAGGACATAACTCTAAACGTATAATAGGTATCAACATGAAATTTTGTAGGTAGATAGATCTCATTGAGTAAGTGTGCAGTGTCTAAGAACCGTAACTCTGCCTTGCCTAATTTTTGAATTATCCCCCTTTGTTTATTTTACACTTTGAACTTTGTCCAGGACATAACTCTAAACGTATAATAGGTATCAACATGAAACTTTGTAGGTAGATAGATCTCATTGAGTAAGTGTGCAGTGTCTAAGAACCGTAACCCTGCCTTGCCTAATTTTTGAATAATCCCCCTTTGTTTATTTTACACTTTGAACTTTGTCCAGGACATAACTCTAAACGTATAATAGGTATCAACATGAAACTTTGTAGGTAGATAGATCTCATTGAGTAGGTGTGCAGTGCACAAAAACCGTAACTCTGCCTTGCCTAATTTTTGATTTATATTCCTTTTTTATTTTACACTTTGAACTTTGTCTGGGACATAACTCTAAAACTATAAGTGGTATCAACACGAAACTTTGTAGGTGGATAGATCTCATTGAGTAGGTGTACAGTGCACAAGAACCGTAACTCTGCCTTTCCTAATTTTTGAATAATTCCCCTTTGTTTATTTTTACACTTTGAACTTTGTCCAGGACATAACTGTCAAACTACAAGAGGTATCAACATGAAACTTTGTAGGTAGATAGATCTCATTGAGTAGGTGTACAGTGCACAAGAACTATAACTCTGCCTTACCTAATTTTTGAATTATTCCCCTTTGTTTATTTTACACTTTGAACTTTGTCCAGGACATAACTCTAAAACTATAATAGGTATCAACATGCAACTTTGTAGGTAGATAGATCTCATTAAGTAGGTTTGCAGTGCACAAGAACTGCTTTTGGAGTTATTGCCCTTTGTTCATTTTGACACTTTGAACTTTGTGGGGGACATTACTCTAAAATTATAAGAGATATCAACATGAAACTTTGTAGATAGATAGGTCTCATTGAGTGGAAGTGCAATGCTTAAGAATCATTACTCTGCCTTGCCTTATTTTGAAGTTATTGCCCTTTGTTTATTTTTACTTTTTGACTTTTGTCTGGGACATAACTTTAAAACTATTAGAGATAAACATGAAACTTTGTAGGTAGCTAGATATAATTGGATAGAACTGCAATGCTTAAAGAACCTAAACAAAGCCTGGTCTTATTTTGGAGTTATTGCCCTTTGTTCATTTTAACACTTTGAATTTTACCCGGGACATAACTCTGATATCATCAGGAAACTTTATAGATAGATAGATCTCATTGAATAGAAGTGTAGTGCAAAAAGACATAACTCAGCCTTGCCCTATTTTGGACTTTTTGCCTTTTCTTCGTTTTTTTATACTTTCCTGTGTCCAGAACCTTCTCGGGGAGCATCACCCGGTTCAACCGGTTCTTGTTTCCTGTAGCTAACGAATGTAAACAAGAGAAAAGGAGTAGTCTATTGAACGCACTTTTTTGTAATTAATATCAAGCTTTCACAAGGTCATATTTGTTTTCAATACTGATGAGAATATGTATCATTAATCTACTTTGGTAAATATTTATCATTTGACAGTTAAAAAGTGCTTGTAAATCGGAATTTACACAGCGTAAAATCGAACCGTACGCGCATCACCTCAGCGCATGTTGTTTACAATGTTGGGTACCCAACGGGGAAATTCACTGTGTATATTACCCGTCTGGCTCGGTAATATCAATTTCTTTCGGGTGATCAATATCCAATCAAAAAGGCGGAAAAAATCTGGAAGGGTAATAAATTTTGACGTGACGTCATTAGCGTTATACAAACATAGTGTAAAGACGCGCTAATTGTTAGCGTTATACTATAGGCGCGTCAGTGAAAAATGACTCTTTTTTCACTTTAAACGGTCTTTATTTTGGGTGTGTGATAAATAGAATATTAAATTCGTGTAAGTTCCTTACTGAATTTATTGCACTCGTTCAATAAAATTATATTATGCTCGCCAGAGGCTCGCATAATATAATTTTATTTAACTCGTGCAATAAATTAAGTATTGAACTAACACTCATTCAATGTCCTCTATGTATTTCATAGAAAAATAAAACATAATTGAAGCCAAATGGAAACGACGTTTGTTTTGCAGTTTTACTATGGAAGCCGAGTCACGCCATTTCATATAAACACGTTGTCGTGGCGACAAATATTCGAACGTTTTGTCCAACTTAAAAATACAAAACACTTATGGCAAAAACACGACTTATTTCTCCTACCATCCTTTTGACTTTTCTCATTTTGTTACGAAAAAATAGCATGGCACGTATTGGCCAATGTATTAAGTTTTGAACCACTGCTATTGAAACATAAAATGCAATATAGATTATTCTGACTTTTTCTGATTCTTTTTTTCAGATTGGCAGTAATCCTATTAATATGGAGGGTTGTTATGAACTGTTGAAAGCTGTCGCTTCCAGAAAGAGTCAAATCTTGCATATAGCACTAGATGTAAATATATATTTATTTTATACCTATATGTATACGTTTTCTGGTGAAAATATAGCCATTTTTGACTGAAAATATACAAAATTCCATACTTTGTACTCAACAACTAGTCTGTGTTATATGTCAAATCTTGTGTGTAAACGTTCGTACATTTTCGTGTTTCCGGAACCTGCCGAGCGATAAAAGGAAAACCCATGTTTATTTATTTGCAGTATAAATTTGTCAAACATACCACACCATAGTTGTAAATAACAAATTGAGATTAAGAAATGCATATTATTTTACAGTAATTTAAAATGTAAAAATGTTTCAATAAATATGCTTTGAATTATGTTTTAGTAATTGTTAACGCGTTACTGTTTTACCGAAACAAGGAGAGCGATAAAAACCATTAGAATACCACATTCATATAATATACGGTATCGTGATATTCATTAAAATGAACTGAGATCATTTTCTATATCAACATTCCGCATTAGAAATCTTATATTGAAATTCATTACTTTTATATATCGCACTTGTCAAAAAAAACCTAAGGGCATAACCAATAACAGGCTTACAAACCTGCGAGATTTTTTTAAAGGGTCTTTTCATTGCACACGATGGACCTCCTCCTTTCTACATATTTTGTCATAATGACCCGCGACAAATATCTAACCTAATTTCCCTAGCTTAATGCCGCTGAAATATTACTGGACAGAATAATTTTTGTGTGCCAAATTACCAAAATATGTAAAGCGTTGCAACGCCTTTTATTCAAATCGGGCTAAGAATCGCACAAAAATAGATTTTTAATTTAATTTTAAGTATATTTCTCTGTTATCCTTTACAGATTTTTCCATTTTAAGTATTTCACTTGATTTTTGAATGATATTTAAAATTGTATGTTTTTGGCCTTTGAACTTCAGTGGTGTTCTTTTAATCAACTAGCTGCCGTGTATAAACTTAGGCATATAAACTTAGGCCTATATCAAGACAAAAAGGTTTAAAAAAGAAAAGAAAAAAAGTAGAATTAGTTTGTCAATAATACTAACAATGTTTAGGGCAGTAGACAATAACGCTTTATTTTGAAATTCATAAAATTTTAATGTATTTAAACAAAGCCATCAGTCTTTTTTGACATACAATTTATCACTATTCACATTTATTTTTACCATATCATCACAGCTCGATAAAACATATTTTATAAAAGAATAATTAACTTGAGATTTGAGTAGTTTTCATGAATACTTTATAGAATATCCCCGTGAATGGCGCTGTTTTAACGGTGGCCAATGACATAATGAAGACCCGGCAGTTCTCGATTACTCATGGTGGAATTCTTGATACGAGGGACGTTGTTGGCATCAGAAAAGGTAAAAGTGTAGTCCACTTTCTACATTATAGACTTTAAAAATCGCACGTGTTCGTACTGAAGTATTAAGTAAGTAAAGAAATTGTGTGTAATAACGGAATGCGTTACAAATATATCCATACACATAGATATATTTTCTATAGAAGAACGCCCGGCCCTTTGGTTCTATAAGTCACCTTAGCTGAGGATATAGGTTCCTCATCCTTGAACAAACATAGTAAACTTATATTAAAAAGTATCAGGCATTTACGGGCAGTTCAATTGTACAATATGACACAAACTTATGAATAATGAATCATGATACATCTTACAATAATAGGTGTGCCATTTATACCGAGTTTTATCACTTTATTTTGGTGTAAAGCGTTTTAGAGAATTCTGTACTAAACATACTACTAAGAGATTCAGATCTTCCCGTAAAAAACGGGCATCTTTAGGCATTACGACAATACTTCACTTTTCCGATGTAGATCTATTACGATAACAATAATCGGACATTTCCGATTTACGATAAAAAATATAATTGTGCATTTACGACGAATTACGATGCCAGTAATCGGATAGTCCGTTTTACAATAAAAATTAGAATCGGGCATTTCCGATGTATCACGATAAAAAAACGAACATTTCCGATAAACATGTATCAAATAAATATCAATTATCACCTCTTGTCTAATACATTCTTTTTCAGGAACCCTGTGATATAGGATAAGTACATTTTTCTCTCGCCCATCTACAAATGCAGGGCATATTGCTAAGGCATATGTATTGCACTTGCTTAGAACGTTAAATTTTTGAACTTAATTATATAATTCACGAAGTGCATTTGAGTATGGTCGTGTAAACGTCCGCTTCTGATACTGGCTTTAACCCTATATGTTTAATATCTTCAATTGCAGTCTATACAAAACCATTATTTTTTTATCATTTTCATGGAAAATTTCAAGTACTGACTAATTAGCCATGAACGCAGATCATGGTCTGACGGCACGAATTATCTGGCTGACCTTGACCTGTACTGCCTGCATGCGTAGAATTAACTGTCACTAGGAGACTTAGTTTGGAGTAAAGTTTTTTTTCTTATTTCTTTCAGTGAAACCAGAGGACCCAATAACAATTGTTGTACGGTATCTAGGAACCGTAGGTATCCGGATAATCGACCTGTTCCGGATGTTTGACTCTGATAATGATGGCCAGGTCTCAAGAAGGGAGTTCATCCGCGGACTTAAAGTAATCATTTCCTGTTTTCATATGGTAACAATTGAAAATTAACTTATATAACGGAGATATGCCAATGCCAATATCTCATTA